ACCTATATTATTAATAATTTACGCTAAATCTAGGATATTTTGTTGCTTTCGCAAAAATGTAAGATTTCCGCAAAGTACTTTATAGTTGCTGTCCAACCGAGATAACCTTTTAACGGCACTATATTTTGGTTTTATCACGTGGTAAAACTGATTTTAACTTTTATCGTAGGCTAAAACTGTTAAAATAAAAAAACGATATACTAATTATAACTTATGATAAAATATTGATCAAAAATTAAACTAGAAAATGACAAAAATAATGCTCTTGACAATTTAAAGAAAATAACATACTATAATTATATACTGTACCAAACGATTTAGCCTACGATAAAAGTTAAAATCAGTTTTATCAAGTAATAAACCAAAACATAGTGCCGTTAAAGGGTTATCTCGGCATCACTAATATGGACTAAAAGTTGCAATGCGTCGAATAAAAGTAGCAGTGATGGAAAATAGAGAATCACTGCTGCACTGTTACCCAAATATATTATGGTATAGCGATCATTTGTAAATAACTCTCAACTATAAAAAGCTAATTCTTTACAGCTATTTTCATAATTCCTGGAACACCTGATAAAAATTGGCCGAATGATTTTTCAGCCGATTCGTGATCCTTATAATAAAAACTAATATATCACAGCGATAGTGACTGTTTTACAGATCATTGTAACAATAATGTCAATATCAATAAGTCTTAACAAGTAATATAAAAATTACACTATGTATTAATTAGACTTTTATAATAAACATATTGCACGAATTGAAGCACGTGTTAAAAGATCTAAATAAAATTTTACTTTTATTTGTATATACAAGTTTATTCGTAGCCTTTTAAATTTTCATATGTCTAACCAGAATTCCACCTCGGATTATAATTCATACAAATACCAATCAGGTTTTTTTTTTTTTATTAAAATTTTAAAAATATTTTGTATCGTTCATGTTCAATGAGCGTAGACCTCCTGAAAGTGACGGAAGCTTTTCAATACATCCATATCTTTGAAAGTGCTTGAGAACTCGACTTATAACTGATATGCTAACACCTAAGTATTTGGCAATTTTTTGAAATGATAGGCATTTTAAATTTTTTTTTTTCAATTATTTTCCAGCGAAGTTGCTTTGAAAGTATTTCTGTATTCAATCAGAGATATTTATATTAGTCACCTGATCTTAAATATCAATTTTATTGAATCTATTATGCCCGAAATTACAAACTTAATCGAATCGGCTGAAAAATCATTCGGCCAATTTTTATCAGGTGTTCCAGGAATTATGACAATAGCTGTAAATAAAATTCTTTTATATCTGTTTTCATAAATTCTGGGACACCTGAAAAAAATTAACTGATTGATTTTTCGACCGATTCGATTATGTTTATGATTCCGGCATGATTGGTATATTATATTTTTATATTATTATAATAACCATTTTACACGAATAGGCGCTAATACTAAAAAAAAATTAGATATGATCAAGAATCTGATGACTGGTTAAAAATGTAACCAAAAAAAAAAAAAAAAATTTAATATTTATCGAAAATATGTTATGGAGGTTTTTTTTTAATACATCCAAGAAACTTTGAAATGCTAACGTCTAAGTGTTTGGCAATTTTTGAATTGATAAGTTTTCTAAAATTTTTTTTCAATTATTTGTTATATAGCCAATATACTTTGAAAGTATCATATTTGTAAATTTATAGAATCTATTATGCCAAAATCACAATCTTAATCGAATCGGCCGAATAATCATTCGGCCAATTTTTATCAGGTATCCCAGAATTTATGAAAACAAATAACAAAATTTGCACGCAACCTCAACCGGGCGGAAGCCACCCGTATTCACAATTTCTAGATATTCATTAAAATTTGGCCACATGATCATGTACTAGTTATTACATAAAAAAATTTTAAGAAAACGAATGATAGTTATTTTCGGCAAGGTTGATGTAAGCTTTATATAATATAATGTACTATAGAAAGAATCTATAACAAAATTAAATTCTGCTTTAGTAATTTTCGATAAACAAATTATATTTAGTGTACAATTTTATAAAATTTAATTTTTTTTTTTTTTTTTTACCTTAAGTTTATAGTGTTCAATTTACTTCAAACTATTACTATAAATTTTTTAATTATATTTTAATAATATATTTCGATCTTATATCCTTTCTCTGGATTAAGAAATACATAAATAATAACGATAAAATAAAAATAAAACATGGTACTAAGCCGGACGTTCTAGAAAACATATCATTATTAACTATTAAAGTTTTACGAAAGCAATACACATTCAATAAGCCGGATTATGAATATGCTTTTTTAAATAATGCTCGTATAAGTTAAAGTTATTAATTTTTTTTTTTTAATATTTAGAGAAAATCTTGCACTACAAACAATGAATCAGAGTTCAAATTTTGCTTAATAAAATCAGAATAATTAAATTCTTTGCTAAAAATTGACTCTTCAGGATTCTGTATTATATTTTCCGGAGGTGGTCTTGTCATTCTAAATATATCATCATCAAGGAAATCTTGAACTTCCTCGAATTTGTCGGATATTTCGGGTTTAGGAAGAAGTTCTTTAAATAAATCATTCAAATTCTTTTTAGTTTCACCAAGAGTTTGAATTTTTTTAGAGTAATTCTAAGGAAATCATTTAAAATATGTAATAATCGGCTAATATTTGTAAGAATTTCATAAGCAATGGGTCGTTTATCTGGATTTGAATCCCAACATTGAGTCATTAATTTAGCATATGATAATGGTGTGTCTTTTGGAATCTCTGGACCTAGTTATAATATTAAAGAAATTTAATATTGCAGCAAAGAAAATTTATTAAAACGTTGATACCTACGTAATCCTAGACAAATGTCTAACGCGAGATTTTGATCGAATGGTCTGTTCCAAAATGGTCGGCAGCCTGTTATCATTTCATACATTATCATTGCAAAACTATAAATATCTGCGGCAGGCGTAAGTGGTTATCCTTTTAATATTTCTGGTGCTATATATGGTAAAATTCCATATACTGTTCCTTGAACATCTGTTTTCTTGAGTTTAGCTTTGTCTTGCATTATAGAATACGATAATCCAAAATCTGCAATAATAAGTTTATCATCGTCATGAAATATATTTTTTGTATGTAAATCACCATGTATGATCCCTTCATTGTGAATGCCTGAAAGTTCAAAAATGAGACTACATAAAAACTTAAGCCTTTGAGACCAAAGGAGTTTCCAGTAATCTCGAACAATTAACGATCTTGCATCTTCCTCATATAATTTCATGACAAGAAAAACTTGTTTTAAAGATTTAAAGTATGAAATTCCAAAAGATCTTGCACAAATATTATATGTATTAAGGGCAAATTGACGGAACGCCTTATCGGGAAAATTATATTTATTGAGAGATTTAATATAAAATGGCCAAAGTAATTATAAAAATTTATGCTTACCTCATCAAACCCCACAATGTCGTCTGGTATGGTCTTTAATACAACAAGTTGAGGACCTTTTCTTTTAATACTTGATTTATTAAAGTCTATACTTTCAATTTGTCCATCCATCCATTCTGCAGTATATATATTAGCGAAACCACCCATAGACATAAACTTTTTATTTTGAAATCTTTCTTCGGGAATGTATTCTATAAATGATTCGACTCCTAAAGACATTCCATCACCTGTAAATAATGCATTAAAATATTTATTTTCCATTTTATCTTCCATGTAATATTCATTCATACAATCAGCGCTGCAAAATTCCTTATCGTCTTTTTTCTCGAGCTTACGTATACCTATGCGAACATTTTTGCCACATTTGCTACAATGCACATAGTAATTTTCATTCTTAAATGAGTTAGATCTTATATTTTGAAATATTTCAGAAATATGTGGATCAACTTCTAGAAACATTTTATTAGCTTCCGAAAACATTTCAGAAATATGTGGATCAACTAGAAACATTTTATTAGCTTCCGAAAACATTTCATTAACTTTCGAAACCATATGATCAAAATGCTTTTCCCTTTTTGAACGAATTAAATGTCCAAATATATCTTCCGGTAATTGTGAAAAATAAATATCTTTTGCACACGGTCTACACCAATTTTTGGCAGAGTTTTCACGCTTACAACGTGGACATTCGCCAAAATTTTCTACAAGTTTCTGGTCATATTTTTCTTCTAATGATTCATTATTACTAGCTTTATCAGCTTTATCAAATCTGGCAATCCTTTTCTTTAACCACTCTGCCAGATCAGGATCAAATAAAATACTCTCCATATTGATATTCATGTTTTTTTTAAATTAATAAATATAACAAAGATTTGATTTCGTTACTGTTTATATACAGTAATATACGTAGATCATGTGTGTAAAATTTTTAATTATGAGTTTCACATGTAAAATTTAGGCAAATTTTGCTTTCTCGACTTATTTAGCAAGAAGAAGCTGTCAATTTAATTTCTGGGTCTGAGTTTGCAACTTCTCTAGCATTAGAAGGTTCTTCCCATCAAATTTTAGGGTAATTTTTAATAAAATTGAGAAGAATCATGGCCACGAAGTTAGCCAATTTTTTGACGATTTTTAAAAAAGCAAAAATGCGTAGTCACTGCGTATATGTAGATCTGCACTAAATTTGGTTAATCATTAAAAGATTGTTTTGAACAAAGGCTAGCTCTTTGACTAAATTCAGACGCCAACTCCATAACGGTCAAAGGAATTGTCACACAAAATGTACTTCATTAACTTTATTAATTCCGATGATCTTTTTTAATAAATTTAGTATTTTAAAATTAAAAATATTCAAAGCAATATATTCTAAGTTTAATCGTAAATTCAACTACTATATTTGTTTTATAAAATTTTTTATTTAAGAAACTATTTTATACTTTTTATAAAGACGATAAATATAATATTATTTTAGCTTTATAATTAAGATGTTTATTAATTTTAATTTTTATTGTAAATAGCATATTTCTTCGTTTGGTTGAAGTGATGATGAATTAATTATATTCGATGAAGTAGTTGTGTTTATATTAGGTAAAGTAGATTTATTTGTTTTTACTCTTTTTGTGGACGCTCTGATTCTTGTTTTTTATAGTTGCTAGAATGTTCTATAACAACATTGCTAGCTCTATGTCCTTTTGTTGTACGTTTCTCTATTTTTGCTATATCCTGTTTATACAGTATATTGAATATATGCGATTTTTTCCTATCTCATAACAATTAAAAAGATTTTTAAATCCTTCGCTAGTATTTTGAGTAGTATTTTTAAGCAAATCATGTTGAATTGGATCTGAAGATTCAAATAATTCTTCAAGAAGATTAATTAGTTTCCATAAGTATTCTTTTCTAGATTTTATATTTCGATCAGTAGGATAAATAAAATTATCTCCTATATATTCACTAATTGTATGATATAGTCTATCTTTTTCACGTTGCATAAAAGATATTTGTGCTTTTAACTGTTCATTTTCCAGATATCGTCCAATATTTTCTTTTACCTAAACGTTCTATTCCTTCATCATGTGCAATATAATGGCCTGGTCGTGTAAGATTAACCGCGCTAACATAAATTTAATATAGAATGTAAAGAGGGATTTTTTAATATATAATGTATATAAAATGTAACTGATTGTGAATAATTTGGATATCTAGCTGCTGGAAATAGTGGCACAAATGTAATAAGATTTTCTAATCGCATTACAAAATCACCATGTCTTATTCCAAGCTGATAACCAAGCCAAAAACTAGTTCACCGAAAAAAAAGAGTCCAAACTTTTAATATATTGTTTTGTTCTATTAATTCTTCAATACTTTTTTTTTTTTTTGCATAGTTATGAATTGCGATACCTACTTCTACCTATAATAGCTCAAAGATTCTACAAGCTACAATATAATCAACAACTTGTTCTAATTTATCCAAATAAAGAACACCTAATACACTTGATAAATTAAAAATTCCATAGCCAGAAAATAATTTTATAAGTGCAGTACATATTATTTTATTTGTATGCCATCCACCTAAAAGAAAGTTTAACTCAGAATGATTATGATAGAGAATATAGACGCCTAAAAATAGCTTCATCTGCACAAATTGTTAAACCTAGTGGTCCAACTCCTACATCATCATAGTACATTAATACTGCATCATATACATTCTTATCACAATTTGGATTATCTCTTGGCTTTAGTATTACAACTTCTGGTGGTGGTAAAGTGTATCTACTATTAATATTATTTTGAATTTCTGTTAAAATATCTTTAGTTTCAAAATTACTATAATGATGATTTACGATAATTTGATTAAATTTTACTAATTGTTCTACAAATAATGAGGTATCTACTCGGAATTCTTCATATTGATAATTTGAGCAAGCAATAATTTCTGTAAGTGGCTTAGAAAATATATATTTAAAATCTATTTGTAAAGTTACATAAGCTGTTTGTCTAGGTTTGTCATAAATATTATCAAATAAAAATTGCTTTTGCTTAATATTCAAATTATCAATTACATACTGTATATATTAAATATATATTTTTCTTTTAATAAGTGCTCTTTTGGATCATAACAAATTTGCCTATCCTTTAAAATTTTTCTTTCATATCATGCTGAATGAGCAATTACATTTGCTATATACAAAATAGCATAAAGTAATAATTGCATATTTGGCTTTTGACAAAAAGAACTAAGTATATGTATTATCCAAATATTAGTATTTGGAAATGTTATTGTTAAAATTACAGATATTAAAAATGTTAAAATTTTAATTGCACATTTCTTTAATGGTTGACGTTGACATTGTTTTATTTTTACAATTGGCCATTTTTTTTGTATAAAAATAAAAAATTTTTAATTTACACCTAGTGTATATATACACATACTAATTTATTGATTTACAATTTGTTTAACATATAAATTGTAAATGAAAAATTAGTATAACTTAAGGTTAGGGTGAGGGTAGCTTTAGGGTTAGATGAGATTATAGTTTATACTAAAATTTGCAAAGAATATTTTTTGTTAGAACCCCAAAACTATTATATAATCAGGATTTTGAAATATTAATATATGTGTATATATACACCTGGTGTACAAATAGCAATTGTCTAAAATTAATTAAGTTATCAATAAACTCTTTTATAACTGGCAAAAATGCATTTCTATATAAGTTTAATGTATTAGGATTTTCTAAATCACTTTTATTTTCTTGAACAAATGAATGTGAATTTCAAAGTATATGTGCCAATGCTTTGCCAAATTTTTTAGAATCTTTTTGTATAAATTTTGCAATAACAAAGTTATTATTTTTAACATATACTTTTTTAATCGTAGTGCAATTTTGATAGCTAGATAGATTTAAAGTTTTATTATTTTCACCATGTTCTTTAGTATCAGAAGTTTTGCTAACTTTATTATATTTTTTTAACATTTAAAGTTTCATCAGTTTTGTTATATTCTTTAGTATCTTTTAAATAATTTTTTTTTATAAATAGCTATTATATATTACTAGCTACAATTTATCAATTAATATACTTTGCATAATTTCATCTAATAAATTTGCTAATCTAAATATCTATTAACTTAAAAGTTTTAATGATTTTTCAATATATTTATCAGTATTATTAAATAATATAAACCCTCTTTCTTTTTATTAAAAAATATGATCTCTTTTATTTTCAAAACAAGTAGAACAGGTTCTTTTTTTTTTTTTTTAATAATTCGGCAGTTATACCTTTACTTTATTAGGCTTTGTAATAATTATCTAGACTATTAAAATTTTAGAAAGACTTATTGGTAAGTGATAAACTCTAAACATGTCAGCAAATAGCGTATGAAAACTATCTCTAAATGACATGTACCATGATCGAAAGCTACACAACTATACCTAAATTACAAGTAAAGATTAACTCGGTTGCTCAATAAGTACCTATATTCAATCTGCTATAGTAGAACTCTCTTTCTTCTAAACCTCTCCTGCAATTGGATATAACCTGGCTCTCAACAAATGGTACCTACTACCCATTATAACCAATGTTGTCACATCTACTATGTCCAAGACTTTTTTGCCCATGTCCACGTCCACATGTCCACAACTGTCCAAAGAATATT